TCCGGATTAGGGGTATCAACTGCAAAAAATACAAAATAAAGATTATAAGAATTGCTTTACTGAACACCATCATCATCACATCCTGAAAGATCTCAGTGCGTCATGAGAGATGAGACCCAAAAAAATCTTCAACGATGACAATAAATCAATAGTCTGCTACGGGTACTACAGTATAGAAGTTAAGGATTGGAAATTTCAAGATCGACGAGGAAAATAAAATCGCACCACTCCAATGAACGGTTTTCCTTGGGATTCCAATCATTGGACTACGATCAACTCGAGGGCAAATGATTCGAAAGAGTGAGAAAAGAAGAATTTAGGACAGAATAAAATGTTTCAACAACTGTATGGAGGCACCGGTTTTCACAAATCCTCGAGGATAACTTCGACCAATGATCCGAAGTCATGGGGCTGTCACAAAATCAAACGAACCGTCGTCTGAGACAGATCCAGAATATCATACGCTCAATTTCGCTCCTCTCCCTGAGATTTGCCCAATTGTCGCCGATTCCCAAGTCCCAAACCACGGATATATTTTACACAAAGCTCATGGAAAATCGGGAAAATCTTACAAACGTCGGAAGCACGAAATAAATGAGCAGGTCATGAGCCGAAAAATGAAGCTTGAGTAAAAATTGTTTCATCACCACCTAATGTATTGGAAGAATGCTTCAAAATTATTGAAAGTCAATACTAACAGAAAGAAATCTTCGAACGTTTGCAGGAAACTGGTTTTTTCAATTCAACCTCATTCGGACGTTAATTTGTGGGTTTTCTTCATCAGTTCTATAATACCTTTCGAAAACACTGTCTGTCTCTCACTCCACGAAGCTGACTCAAAAATAAATCCGATGGAAGAAAAGCATAGAATCGTTACTTACCGCAGACTTGACAGTTCGACGATCTTTTTCAACATTTCTGGAAGCCTCTGAACCAGCAACGACCGCACGAACAAACGCCGAATTCAAAAGCGCGAAGTCCACATCGTCTGTGCCCTGAAAAAGGAGGTCACATTCCATTTTACATCGACGTTCCGTCAAAAGAATGGTCAATAGATATTTAAAAATTATTTTTCGCTCCAGCAAACAGAGAAGAACATTCACGGGATGAGGCAAGATATTATTGAGTCGAAGTTACCGGGTATTGATCCTAAAATTATTTGTTTTCGGAAATACTGAACTCGAAAATAATTCTCATGAAATGTTTCATGCAATTTAGGAAAAACTAGAGCAGATAAGAAGTAAGAAGAGAACGAAGAGAAAAAATTGCATAAAAACAGAGAAGAATCATCGAAAAAATATTGCTAGAACTGCAACACCATATAAGGAAGCCTGTACTCGTAATGCCCGAATTTTTTCTGGTTAGTGAACTCCAGCATAAAATACTGATTCTACTTCCACAGGTATTTCAATAGTGATAATAGCTGATACAGAATTCCTCCAAGATTGATGAAGCGATGAAATTAAGGTTACATTCAACACAAAAATCCCAAGCTTACGCGAAAGGAACAATTAAAAAATCTGAAAAATTACATCAGAAAAAGGTCAACATCGATTGTATTACTGCAAATTCTGAGCAAAATAAGCCGTATGGAAAATATATGATTGACTTGCTCACGAAATAGTCTTCAATGTGGCACTGATTTACTGCTGTTGAAAAAAATACATAAATATACTTCAAGGATTTCAACCTTGAGTCATTTCACCCTCGCTATCCAAATTTAAAAATTCCAGACTCGTATCTTAACAATTTCAAATTCGGCTACAGTACATGGAATGATGCACCAAAAATAACGTCACCCAACTTGGACGCAATGAAACATTTTGGCCTTCAGGACACATCGACGAAAGAAAAAATTGGAACTCCGATCCAGCAATACGTGAAAAAAAAGATGTTCGACTCCAATGAATCGAACAGTTTACTCACAGCAGGCGAAAACGCCTTCATTCTGTTCAACATGGTCTTGGCAGCAGCTTCTCTAGCGATCGCTTTCGCGTCGGGCCCGAACCCTTCCCCGTAAGTCACCATGTGTTTCACGATGCAACGAGTCAAATACACGGGTTCACTGGAGGATCTCGAGACACGGACCACTTGATATTTCACCGGGGGGAACCGCTCCTCGGCCAGGGCACGCAAAAGCGCAATGCCGCTCTTCGCCGATTTCTTCCTTGACGATGTGGACGACTCGTTCGCCGGATCCTCATCTTCCTCTGCTTCCTTGCTGGCAGGTAAAACGGCTGACGTAACATTTTCTGAAGAGTATCCCGAATCGGCTCTCGATTGTGCTAATAAGTTCAGCATTTCGTTTATTGCTGCTTGACGAGCTTCCTGAAAAATTGAGTAAGCACCGGGTTGAGCGACTTCTCCGTTCGGATCGAAAGCGAAAATGTTACAGACTGTTGAGCAATAAGAGAACACGTAATTTTTCGGCCAAAAAATGGAGAAGCAACCATTGATGCACATAAGATGGACAGAAGCAAACTTTACTTTCACGACTTTCACGATGCGGGCCAAGTACGTATCAACTTCGTTTGTGCAGTCTAGCAATTTCTTGAAGAACGTCGTGAATTGCGGATCAATGTATGTAACAACGAAATACCACTTTCGAATTCCCTCAAGACAAACTATACAACAGCTCGGACACCTAGAATTTTGTCAAATGTCAATTACATGTACAGTATTGACAACAGAGTTGAACCCTCTTTATAACGCTTCACATGACAAAAAGAAGGGCTGAGAATATCTCCGTGAACTCAACATCAATGTAGTAGGTCTGTCGAAATCTTGAATAAATACAATTTTACGTAAACTGTCGTTACACAGACGAAATCGTGCTGAATCAGCTTGGGCCAGTTCCATCACTGCTCACAACTTTCACCGAAGTGTTGAGATTGAAAACCTTCTGGATTCCTACTCGACTTCAAATTATTTCAGAATCATCTGTTTGGAATACTGTAACCATGAATAGTATTTGTTGCCACTACACGAACAGCACGAATGAAAAAAAGAGATTTTACGCGTTCCTTCAGCAATTTTCGATTAAAAACTCAAATATGCTCCAGCAAATCAATTTTGTCTTTTCTACACTGTAAACAAGATTCAAGTTTCCGTGAGAGGTCTCCGATTAAAAAGAAAAAACCACAAACAAAAATAAGACGACAAAATTCACTCCTTGGAAAAATTACCTAAATATAATTTACGCATCCCGCGCAAATTTTGATTGTTTTCTGGAAGCAATCGAAGAATACGCATTTACCCCGTTAAGCCCCATAAACCTCACGAAAAAAATTGTGGCGGCTCATTGAAGTTTCACAGCACTATATTTCTCAATAATATCTACTTCACAGTTATGTCTTCTGATCAAACTTCTGAACTTTCGCGTCCAAACGATAACTTACCCTGATTGGGCCGTGTCCTTCAGTAATGTGATGAGCAACAACGCAGTACACCAAGAAATCGTCCTTGGAACACCGCGAACTCAGGAGTTTGACAGGTGGGAAACGCTTCATCACGACTTTCTCCAGGAGATCAACGGGGTCTTTCGGCTTTCCAGACGTCGTGTGGATCGGAATGCCTTGAAATTGAAAAAAGAATTACGCATTACCTAGGAAACATCGTATCATCAAAAAACAGTTTACACACCATGAATGGACGCGGAAGGACGGCGATCAAGAGCCACGTTAGTTCGGGATTTTTCAGCGACTTCGAGCTTCGGAGACATGATGCTTCAATGAAAGCTTTTTCGATTCACAACGATATACACAGTTATCACAGATGCAAAGATAACTCACGGGAGATGAAAAAAGCTGAAAAAATATATGCGTCAGATGTGTAAGAAGTGAACCCATAAAGTTAAGGCTGATATGCGAATTGCAACTTTGCTAATTGGCAAACTGAATAAACCATGCCAACATTCTCGTAGTTCAGTTAACATGACTTTTCAAGATATTTGAACTTGGTTCACTTGAAAGCAATTACAAAACACATCTCTTTCATTTTAAAGGCTGCTAAAGAGAAATTTCATGAAGTCGTCATCGAATAGAATTACTGCCTCAGTCGATTAAAAAATAAGGCTTTTAGTCATTTTCCCAGAAAAAATTCGAAGGTTTTCTGGGACTTGAGAAGCTGAGTCTTCTTGATGAAAAAAATTAGACATTATTTATCTTCAGACAGGTGAGCACGTATCGTTCACATGGAAAAAAGCCTTGGGCTATTTCCGGGATACGAATAGAATAAATCTTCTTTAAGGCAACACACTTGATTTCACAGAGAGATTTCTTCGAATTATGTGACACACGTACCAGCAAGATTCCTCACATTGCTAATTCACAAATCGGAAACACTACTACTGTACATAAAAAAGGTCTAGAAAAGAAAGGATCTTCCGCTAAAACTCGAAGAATCTCCAACACTGAATAGTATGAAATGGGGCACACATCAAAGAATCCACCGAACTGCATCACAAACCAAAATACAAACCAATCATGACGTAAAAACCCTGCAAGGTTTGGCGATCACAACAGCGAGTTGAAACGAAACTTCAGACAAGAACAATTGAATAGTCTTTGCAATTCAACGCTAGTCGAAGCACTGTACTGTACATCAATCTGCACGAACCTTCACAGCCACAAATACTGTACTAAAAAATGAACACATGCGCATTCAACCGTGAATAAAAATGCTTTCCTGAAAAAAATCCATGCAGAACATGAAGTTGAAATTTTCCTCAGGCAAAACAACGCAACAATTAAAACTAAGTACGGAGTCAAAAACCAGCCTTCTAATTTCGGGTTATTTCACGGCAAAAACCACGAGCAATAAAAAAGTTTCGGAGACAATGGGTTAAAAAAGAAAGGAAAACGCATGCAATCACGATATCACGAATTAGTCCCTCAGATCGTATTTTAAAAGAAACATTCCGTAAACGAAATACATTCGAGCAACCCCAACGCTTCATTACTTCTTCAGTATAAACGTACCAAAACAGCGAACCTCAATCATCACACATCTTCGGCGCTCGCGGAAGTACGCGAAACCGAAAGTATATCCTCGTGGAACTGCTTGTAAATTGAATCGAGTTCATCAAGCGACACCGAAGCATCAATCATGACCACGGGACAAGGGATCACTTTCCCAGCTTCTTGCTTCACGAGCCAGTTCTCGTGCAGTTCGTGAATCCGCTCCAATAACTGAAGCGGCACGACGTCTTCTTCAGTTCGTCCGCGCTTCTTCAGACGCTCGTAGGCAACAGCCGGAGGTAGACGGAGGTAAACTTAGAAACAAACCACTAGATCAGCGAAGCTCTTTGACATACTACCGTATTTACTCGAGTACAAATTGAGGCAGAAAAATAGGGTTCACGTGGTACTTTGGCATACATTTTTACATCGAAAAACACCTAAAAACAGTGCTCCTCACGCGCATGTGAGGACATCTAAGCAACATCAAACATAAATTAAGAGGAATGTGTGGCGCCTAGTCGTCTTGTACATAGGAAATAATGGTCCAAGCAGTACAATTTTTCAAGAACACTGCTCATCAGTTGGAGATGCAACAGGAAGTAGAGGGAAATTTTTCACTTAATTGAGGAAGCTGCCATATATTGCGAGCACATTTTAAAAGCTTCTGCACACAGTGAAAACCAGGAGAGACAAAATATGGATGGAAAAAATAGACCCACACTTCAAAAGAGATTTAAAAAGGGGGTACGGGTCTTACACAGGTATAGGTTTTTGGAAGAAGTCCTCTAAAAAAATTGGGGTACGCGCTTTACTCATGGGCGCGTGGTACTCCCATTAAATATGTAGCTAATTTACTTTTGGGTCTTACCAATTAAATCAATATTAGACGGTCGAACAACGGAACTGGATATTTCATCCTGCCAAGACGTCAGCAATGAAGATTCCACATCCGTGATATCCCCACTGGTCTTCCACTGTTCCGTGAAGCAATACCTGCACGAGGAACCATCTTGCATTCACGAACTCAAGATTACTCGAGTTGATCATGAGCATACCGGTTGCTGAGAAAGGATCTTTCCATAAAGCGTAGCGGTTTTGGGCAAGGGCTCAAATATTGCCGAATCCTCGTCAAATGAACATATGACTGGAACAAGAATCCCCAGCGTTTTGTGTCATGATACATGAGATCCAACAAGTTTTGGCCACCGACATTCAACCATGATTCCAGAGGTTCCTAGGTAGAGCATAACAAAAAGAGGCTTAAATCAATGAACTGCAAAATCAGAATTTAATCGAAGAAATTTTCCATTCCGAATTCAGAACAAATTGTACTGATTTCCGAATTATCCAGATTCTCCACGTTGACCTGAATTGGAATGACTACCAGTAACCAGTAGAGAACAAATTATCAATAAAAGTTTCGAATATGAATCGAATCGTAGTTGCGTTTAAATTCCTCTAAATTTAGATCTTGTTTTGAACTAACCCTCATGAACGAGGACGTGATTCATCATAAGATGAATCCCTATCAAAATAAACTACTGTAACAGGACTTTTCTCCATAATTAAGAGCACGAATAAAAAGCGAAGTGTATTCAACTATTCTTCATGGTGGATCAAGAGTACGGTATTTATTAATCGGTAGCCACCTCACATGTGGAAATTAAGGGCTATGAAAAACTACGCAAAAGCGTAATGCAAAATCATTCGGCGCCACTCTGATACACAGTCGGCCACAAAAACGTTCAACTCAGTGAGCAGCTTTAGAGAGTCCTTAACCTACTCTTCTTAAGCTCACTCAAAAGATCCTTCGTAAAGCATCAAACTACTCAAGACAAAACAGCACTGTGAAAATAGGAAGAACACGGGATTACTACAAGGATTTCTACAAGTAATTCTTGATTATCATGCCTCAATGTGACTGAATTTGTTTATCTCACGGCTAAAAATCCCCTTTTCGCTCAATCCCAGTATTCAATGCTTTCCGAAATGAACGAAAATCACACAGGTATAAAAAAAAAATTCGGTAAAAATTGCAATTGCATTGAAGAGTGTTGACATTTGTCCGGGCATTGTCATTCAAACACGAGAAGTGTAAAAATGGTCATTAATCAAAAATTAGACAGCCCATTGTGTCTTGGCTCTGTACTACAGTAAGAAAATTCAGTCTGTAAATCAAGCAGTAATTTCGGCAATAAATTTAAATGGACCATCGATTGTATCACACTACACACGAAACTCTTGGAAAACTCAAACGCCACACCTCAAACAACGCCACAGAGGGATCGTTCCTGAAATAGTTCAGTAGAGTCGACTTTCCAGCCCCAATATTGCCTTCGACAGCTACTGTGAACGGACGATCACGATTACGCGCGGAAGAGGACCACGAATCCGGATTAATCATTCGCAAGGTGGGACCAACAGTGCATGACTTCGCCATCGTCGACGAAAACCGGAGCATTCACACTGCACACTTCCGCGCGCTTTACAAAACAAATTACACCTAAAACAAAACAAAAGCTTTCATTTCAATCTGTCACCATTCTCGTCGAAAAAAAAAAAAATTCGGAAAATCAGCAACGCAATCATTTAATTGGAATGGCAGAAAACTTCAGACAGTTTTCGGGATTAGCACAGAAGGAAGCAACATTTCTAAAGCGTGCCGGTATACCAAGCTTTTCGGGCTTATTTGGCCACGAATCAGATGCCTTCAGTTTTCACACGCCACACTCGGAAAATACGACATGAAAAAATACTGTACACAGTGAAAAAAAAATCACATGTGGTGCGATCTTCCAATACAATGCCAATTAAAAAATACGAACGCATAAAGATCTCCCGGGAAACGATTTCTGCTCCGTATACTCCCCGGAAATCTGCCGAATTAACATCACAATTCTTATCTGCTCGATTCACAGGGAAGACTCCAGAAGATAGGACTGAGCTCAGCGAACCACGTCAACACTATTCGCCAAAAAGTCACTCCATGCAAACGGATACAGAAGTTTCGCCTCTTCTAGAGTCAATAGTTTACCGATTTTGGGACCTTCACACGCAAGTACAACATGCGGTACGTTTGGTAAAGCGACTTCGGGTGAGAGAACCGTTTTCTCTTTCGGGGTAAAACAACAGACAATTGCGTATGGCTTACATTCGATAACTGACTCGTGGTTCCGGGAAACCAAACCATTTTCCACTGACGATTCGGCAGTACCGGAAGCATTTTCTTTGCTTCCACAGACGTACGGATCGGTTTCACTGACAACACTATCTCGGATATTACTGGATGTACCTTCCGAAGATTTTCGTCCACTGGGAGTCGTTAGCTGCGTATCCAAAGATCTAGTCTTCCGAGTCCCTCTACGTTTCCGCACGAAGCACGTGCCTTTTTTGGAGTTTTTCCGCTTGCGATTGTAGAATTCCTCAACTTTCATCGGAGCCACTTTCATTATGTTTCCGATTGGCTCCCAAGTATTGTGCTCTGTGAGAGAAAAACCTTTTCTCTTCATTCCATGATTCCCATAACTTGAAAAATAAAATAAACTTCACCTCGCCCGTAACCCAGCCATTTTACGTAACACTCCCGCCCGCGGCCTTTGTAATCCGAAATTCTCTCCACCTTTTCGACAAATCCCCACTCGGAAACTTCTGTTTCCATTATTCTCTGCGGAAACTTGAGCCATTTGATCAGCAAAGAGGAAAATCGCACGTTATCAAGGATTAAGAACGACGACTGATTCACGATATCCAATTTTCTTTAAACCAGGACCAGGAATATAAAAGGAATCTGGAAATTTGACATTCAATCCACACTCACTAAGCATGCCCGGACTTTTTAATCGCGCCCCACGAAAGTCGCTCCTCGTAGAATTGGATGACGGTTTGAGGACATCGTCGGTTGGCTTCAGACGCGGGTACCAAATCGGCTTCTTTGGAACGTTCCCACTTCATCAAGAACATGAGAGAACCCAACTTCCTCGTGGCACCTATTATTCTTTCGGGTTTCAGACCGCGATCGAAACCGCTTTTAATTTCTAGAAGACGATTGTCCACCTGAGAAAAGAGAAACAAAACATTTCGAATAAGTTAATGTGTATTCTATTGTGCTCGCCGTTAATGGAAATACGAGGTACTTTATAAGAGGGTACGGAATCTATCCATAATTACGTCCTCTCTCGAAAACGGCAAATTCAAGTCAACATAACCTGGAGACCAAATACTTAAAGGTTTCCAGGATTCGCTCGGTGTATTATCACTCAACGAATTGCGTAAAACATTTGTTGGTAAATTAGATCGAGGAGGTACAGTACAATACTGTATTTAGTTCCCAATTGTATTCCGTGAACACCTCGGGTAGTGGGTTGAGATACATATTCAGGAATTGATGTATCAAATTATCCTATCCAACACAGAAATATGTAATTGGTTCAAAGCGGGAAGAATTTGTGAGTTGCGAATGGATTTTCTGAATATAATGCGTTGCGACGATACGTGGGCGAATACAGGTGAACTCCCGAGTCAAATTCAGATTATTTGAACTATTTTCAAGCCCTCGTTTGAATCCCCTTACAATCAATGCATTAAAAACATCCCTGACTCAAAACGCTTTTCCGCCTCAAACCTCCGTAACTCGAATATTCTGGAGGCATTTATGGCTATTATTTTATTGATGACACAAGAGAGAAAAGAGCAATTCAACTTGATGTGCTTTGAAAGGAGGGGAAAGACTAACTGCGCAAATGAATTCTTCCCTTCAACTTTAGCATCTGGTCGTCACATTTAAAAATCAACTCAAGGCCCAGAATATCACCAAATGTCCTGCATTTCTTCTTTCATCCCCGCATTAAATATGCCTTGTTTCCTCAACTGGAAACCTCCCCAGCTCAAAATTTTTTTCCGGGTTCCTTGAAGTTCGACAGCACTTGTAATCATTAAGGGGCAGACGAGAAGATACCAAAAACTGAACTGAACTAACCTCACTGGACCCATCGCGAGTCACATTCCTCTCCGCTTCCGAGGTCTCCAATGATGATTTACTCTCGGGTAACACATTTTCTTTTTCAGATTTCCTTCCATCACCTTCTGATTTCGAGTTACTTTCTGGCAGGGATTCTGAGGCAGGTGGAGGTAGTTTCTTAGTTTTAGCTTCTTCAACCCCTTTGTTGTAAGCATCAATGAGATCGCGACATTGTAGGTTTTCGTCTTCCTCCCATGTGTTATCTTCTTCACCGAAGTCTTTCCATTTCACCAAATAAGAGACGACTCCATTCTCCACTTTACGATCCACGACTTTCTCGACAGTGAATGTCTCGTCGTCTGAATTGCCATCCATGATTCTACGTCGAATTTATTAAAAGATCAAGAGTGAAGTTGATTTTTTCACGATGCAACCACTTCTCCCGAAGGAAAGTAATGATCAACTCACCAATTCGACTCACAGGGAGGAAAATTGCACAACAGGATTTACTTCGAACATATTCAACAAAGCACTTAAGAAGATGAAACCTAAAAATTGAGATGAAAGATTATACGCTTTCAAGGAACGCAAATGAAGAAAACCGACTCATAAGTAAGACGGGAATATTCTTACAAACTTGACAAATTTTATTTAAAAAATCTTCGCAATACCATCAGATTGGTCGCCGCATATTCACACATTTGACGATCCGAGGACACGACGGAATATACCGCATGTGATGCTACAGGAACTGAACATAGCGAAACACTTGATTTTCTTCCTCACAAGAATTTGAATTTTATCTTCAGCAGAGATCCTTCGAATGCTTCCCAGAAAAATTATTGAAATTAACGCTGAACAGCACTAGCAACGCAGAACTTTCTTGATGATTCGACGTACATTGAAGCATACGATTAATAAGCAGCAAGAAACGAAAATAAGACCAAAAAATTCCTCGCCAGAACCACTGCAAAAGATACGCGTAATGACCATTAAAATCATATGAAAACCGTTATAATAGCTCAAGAGAGACGGACCTTAGTCTCACGCTTCAAGATGAGGCTACAATCGATCGAGCTACCATACCGATTTTCTCACGAACACAGAAGGCCATTTTTAGGCAACCGCATCCAATCCTGCCAGCGATGACATCTGAAATCTCAATTCTTCTTGTGCTTCGCCCTCCATCTTGTGATCAGGGAAATCGGTCAGCGTCAGTGTCAGAACTTTGCTTACCAAACACTCTCCACCCTAACAAAGACATAAACACAAACAAAGACCATTCTTGTTAACTTTGCCCAACCAGAAGCTAACAATTTCGACGCCAAGACATTGGCACACGAATAGCAAGCCGTGAAAGTTAATGAAAAGAAAACAATCCTAGATATACGAAAAAAAATCTCACAAAATTGTCTCTAAAATCAAAACAATGAATCAATCTGCCGGGGTGCTCTTCATTTTTCTATTCAGAACTTTCACTCTCCAACCGGAATACCGTTACTTATATTCTTCAAGATTTTCAACTTAAACTGTATTTTCAACAAAAGAAAGTCCAATATCCTTTCGAAAAGCTTCAATTATATTGAATTCAATTAATTCCGCCCAAAATAAATTTCAAATACACGACCGGAAGAAAGCCATGTTTCAGAAAAAGCGGTTGGATGTGAAGAGCGAGTTCCAAGTTTGATTATTTCAAGTCGAAGAATGAAAGCATTTGTTAAAATACGACATAATGAACTAATAGACTGCCATACACAAAAACGATTTTTTCAAAAACGATTTTTTTCATGACGCGTGATCATAAAAAATTAATTTCATTTTTCCACCAACCTCAGCAGTAATGCCGATGAGCGCTTCGGATCTCGAATAAAATTCTTCCTTGAGTGAAATAACGACGCACTGCAGCTCAGTGGCAGTTTGACTCCGAATGAAAGAAGCGACTTTGCCGATATTAGTGTTGTCCAGTGCAGCATCAATCTCATCCAAAACAAAAAATGGAGCGGGATGATAGCTGTAAAATCATCGACCACATTTTTCAAGCACTCAGAATTGAACGATCAATCAAACAGTAGTTGAATAATCCAAGCATGAATCTAGGTTGAACTGAAGGCAAGAAATTTAAGGCACGCGCTAGAAATTTTACAAACCTAAGTTTTTTCTGAAAAAGCAATTCTTGACAAAGAGTATTTTTGCAGGCTGCTGGTGACTGAGTTTCATCGAAATTTTAAAACAAAAAAGAACATACCGGAAAACCTGAGGCACTCAACAAAAGTAGAACTAGATCAACAGATTCGAACGCAAACCTATGCAGGTGAAGCACCGTGATCAACCTTCCAGTAAGCTGTTACTGTACTAGTCAACTTTTAAGTAGCAATGCTTCAATCGAGGTGCAAAATTAAGATACTGAACAATAATTGTCGAAAAAAAAACCTACTCATTCTGAAACTAGTTCTGGTAGAAGAGTACTGTACATAAATACCCCCTAATCTAGTACTAACAGCTCTAGTACAGAAGCGTGGAATTTGATGATTGCCTTCGACTTTTGAACCTATGATCATGCAATTTAAAATTAGGACTTTATCGCCCTTGGAAATTGGATTTAACTTGTCTCCCGTCAAGAAACAAGAACGTCATTCGTTATTCGAAGTAATTTCTCGAAGAGTCAGCCAAAACCTACCTGTGAATCGCGAAAAGAAGCGCAAGCGCAGCAACAGTCTTCTCTCCACCAGACAAGTTCGACATCGGTTGAAATCGTTTTCCTGGAGCGACGCAATTGTAATTAATACCATCCAGATACGGTTCTTCTGGATTCTCCGGTCCAAGGAAAGCCTGAGCCCCTTGATTTCTCGCCAACATTTTGTATGTTCGATCAATCTCGTTGCTCACGTGCTCGAAACAATCCATGAACTTGTCGAATCGATCCTTTTTTACTCGCTCGAACGCCTGCTTCGCCTTTCGCGCCTTCTTTCTCGCAGCTTCGAATTCTTCGTTAGTTTCCTGGAATTTTTCTCGGGCAGCATCCAATTTCGCCATCGCCTTCATATTTGGGGCCTGGATGCGATCGAGAGTTTTCTGAAGGTCCGCAATTTCCTTCGACATGGCTTTTTCGCTCTTATTGATATCGCTGTCGTCATCAAGGTCTTTGTACTGATCCGGTAAATGATCATAGTTTATGACGATTTTTGCTTCCTTTGCATAAAGGACCTGGCTTGGTTGTGACGAGGTCATGTCGATAGACGAGGACTCCGTGTTTTGCGAGGAACGACTGGATCGCGACTGTGACTGCGAAGGCTGTTCCGTCGTGTCCATGTGAGTCGTTTCTGAACCACCGTCCACATCATCGATCGTCCCGCGAGTCATGGGGATAGCAATGCCGTCCATTTTGCAGCTTTTCAGCAAAGAATGACGTTCGGCACGCTTCTGATCCAGCTTATTCTCCAAAGCGTTCAATTGCTTTTGCAGCGATTGAACTTCTTTGGCAATGTTTGTGCTCTCTTTGCGCAATTTGGCGACCTTGTCGTCGAACGCATCCACTTCGGATTTCTTCATGATACGCTCATTCTTGGCAGACTCAACTTCGCGGACGAAGGCGTCAATTTCCTTGAGCTGCTTCTGCTCGGCTTGCTTCGCAGCATCGAGAGTATCTTCATCGTCTTGAACAGCTCTTTCCCAGCGCAGAACGTTACTTTGAGTGTCACGGGACTTCTCGAACTCGAGCTGATTGAGAATCCGATTCTTCTGGTTCTCGAATTCGAGGCGCTTCTTCGCTCGATCCTGTTGCAGCCTGAGTTCTCGTTCCTCGTACTGACGAATGTTATCGACTCCAATTTGCTTGCAGAAGGCCTTGAAAACCACGTCTTCTACTTGATTCATCTTCTCCTTGACCTCTTGCAAGTGTTGGTCGCGGGACTGCATCTGAGTCTCAATTTCGGCAATTCGAGGCCGGAACTGCTCGAGTTGCTCTTCGACAGTCGAGATTTCTTTCCGGAGCTTGGCGATTTGTTTCGCCTCCGTGTTCTCCTTGTCACTGCGAGCGTAACGGAGGCGTGTCTCAAGACCGCGAATTTGAGATTCAACGGTGTTGAGCTCGGATTCCTTGCGAGAATTTTTCTGAGCTTCACGAAGCTCGTCCTGTAAGCGTTCTTTACGCTGCTTCAGTATAGCCATGTGTTTCTCGTCCCACCGTTTCGCCTTGCGCGCCAGATCTAATGAACCACCTGCGAATAAAATTTTCCGAAAAATATATGGTCAAGTACACAAGCGACGAGCCAATGTTATAACAATTCACGATAGAAAAATCGGGTCTGTATCTATTCATTTCGACTTTAGGACAAAATGCGGTCTTCATTCGGATGAAACCTGATAATTTTCACAAGAGAACAGTTGAACCTGGATAATTCAAACCGCCTTTAGCCGAATACTCAATACTTCAAATTCTGTGCAGGTCCCTTTTTGAATTCTTTTAGAAACAATGTTTTACAAATCTCCCTAATCCAAAGGCTTTCCCCCTCAAAACCTCCATAAATCAACTTGTCTGGATGCTTTTTGGCTATTCTTCTACATTATTAAGAAAGGAAAGAGAAAAGCAAACAAATTCAACTTGATGTGCTAGTGAAAAACGATTTGGTCAAATGAACCCTTGCCTCCAAGTTTAGCGTACAGTACTGTCAACTCCTTTAAGAAGCAATTAAAGGTCTAGATCTCTAGAATATCACCGATTGAAATTTTCCGATATTCTTCTTTCTTCCGCCAACAAACATGCCTGTTTTCCTCAATCGAATTTTGTTTTAGGTCCCTTGAATTTGGACTAGAAGAGGTTCGACTGTACTAAAAAAAGTATCGTATGGCATATAAATACATGATAAACAAGCAACTGCAGGACTTGCGAAGGACGAATACAGTCATTTCTTTCAGATGTCAGATAAGCCGCAAGAATGAAACTGCAGCAAAGAAAATATCTCTGGTATACAAGTACCCGTATTTTGCAGCGCACTTTCTATGATATACTGCATACGGAGTACGGGAAATTGTAAGTACGATAACCAATAAATGATAAAAACGACAAACCTGAGATGATCCCCGACTTTTGATAGAATGTTCCATCCAACGCAACCACATCATAACGTTGTCCATCTTCAGAACTGTAAGCCACACGATTCGCATCCTCGGGTGTTTCAGAAACCAAGGCATTTACGGTGGCGTATAATACAGCTCGTTTGATATCTGGAGGCTCGAATTGCAAAACGTCGTACAATAGACGAACATTCTTATCCTTCCCAAGGATTCTTAATCGTTCCTTCAAGGGCTTGGCTTGGATGTAGTCAAGTGGGAGGAAAGTCTCTGGGTCCAACATTTGTTCTTTCAGATACTGGATACACTGTCTTGCAGTTTTCTCTGTATCGACAACGATTGCTTCCATGTTCCTACCCAAAACTTTTGTTACAGCGATGTTGTAGCGTTTGTGGATGGGCTGACACATGTTGATCATCCGATCGTAGACACCTGGAAAAAGTCGCTTGAAATTATCAACGATTTCTTGTCGCTTCCGGCGCCTCGTGTCTTCGTGTTTGTCCACTCGAGCATCCCCAAGTTCTCGAAGAACTTCTTCCAGATCCGTTTGAATGTCTTCGACCTTGTTCTTTGAAGAGCCGACGTCATTTTGCAAATCTCGTTGCATCCTCTTTTGCTCCTCAAGCATGGCTTCGCTGTTGCGAATATGCTCTTGCAGCTTCTCAACGCGTTTTTCGGCCTCCTCGAGTTCGTGTCCCTTTTGCTTCAATTTTGTCTCCAAGTCATTCTTTTTGCGAAGTTCGTTGTCAAGCCGGTCTTGATCCGATTTCTGCTCTCGGTTGACAGAGTCGAGTTCTTGCATGTATCGGCCGCTTTGAATAGAAGCTTCTTCTTTGAGACGATTATATTCTTTAACTTGAGCGTCTTCCAGATGCACGTCGCGACCTTTGCTCTGACTTTCACCGGCAATCAAACTTTCGTAGTCGTTTCGCTTATCGTCGACTTCTTTCAACTCTCGCTCGAGTTCGTTAATGTCGTCCATGTGAGCCGAGTGAGCTTTCTTTGCTTGGCTAAGGGATTTTTTGGCAGATTCCAATTTCTTTTCCAAGTGCTTCACGCGTTCTTTGGCTTTAATGAATGTCGGTTTGCGGCGGCTGATTTCAGCCTCCTTCTCTCGGATGTCTTGCTCCATGGCGGCGAGCTCACGTTGGCGCTTGCCCTGTTCCTTTTTCTTGTCTTTGACTTCGTCCTCAGCATCCTGACGTTTGCGCTCGGACTTTTCAAGGTCAGTTTGCTTCTTTTTCAAGTCTTCACCGTATTGTTCCGTTTCGCGTTCATTATAGTAAAGGCGGAAGAGCTGGAATTCAGTTTGTTTTTGAGCGTGTTCTTCGCGGAGGCGCTGATAACGCTCCGCCTCTTCCTTCTCCATCTTTGCTTCTTTGCGTTCTGCTGCGATGCCCTTCTTCTTTTGATATGAAAACTGGGTTTCTTCTTCGGCTTTCAACATTTCCGCTTTGAGTCGATCGTACTCTTCTTTCAAGGCGCCGGAACCCGAGATTTCTTCAAAAAGAGCTGTTCGTTCCTTTGGGTTTTTCATGGCAATTGACTCGACAGCACCTTGAAATACAAGGAAGTTTTTCGCCTTGACGTTGATTCCGATTGATTCGAGCTGTGACAGATACTCCTGGTTCGACACGCTCTCGTTGTTGATTTTGTAGTCGGATGTTGAACCGTAAACCGATCGGGTAAACGATTTCTCCGTACCGTCATCCATGTCAAAAATGGCAGTCACAGAGGCAGATCGAGAAACTGGTTGGCCGATCGATGCACCGTGGATCAAATCCCCGAGACGCTTCACTCGAAGACTGGATGTCTTCTCGCCCATGACAAAACTGACGGCATCCATGAAATTCGATTTACCTGGAGAGGAGAAAACGAAATGCATCATTAGCGGTTATCCGCATTGTTGCAAAGTGTAAAAACTTTTTATCAAGTCTTGCAATTGATTCATACATAGTCATCAGAAAAAGGAAATATGGAGTTAATTTTCATTTGAAAATAAATACATGAATGTTCAGCCCTTCATCAGTACTTATATAAAACTTGAACGAATAGCATGTGATCATTTTATTTTTCTCCTTGGAAAAAAAAAATTTCAGAAAAATGCCCTTGCTCCAACCTTTCAAGGTATTGCATTACTCCAAATCAATCTGGAAATCTTCCTAAATCGTTAATCCTACTCCTCCAAGGTTTCTCAAGCCTCTTCTTCGATCACTTCAACAGAAACCTCATTCGTAGTACGTAGCATCGGTTTGATGCGCCATACGTTAGCTAAATTAATGTTGAACACCACCAAAAGAACTGATGAAACCAAAGGGAAAAAAATTTTAAAATAAAATGTTTCCTCTAAAAATCCGATTATAAATGATACGAACCCGACCCATTTGGTCCGATGACGGCGGTGAACGGACGAAGTGGACCAATACGCTTCACTCCTTTGTAGGATTTGAAGTTGTCTACTTCAATGTATTTCAAAAACGCCGGCATATTTCTCCCAAGATCAACGATCTATATAGCTCACTCAAATTAATGCACTACACATCTGTAAAAGAACCTTGAATGCTTCAGCACACGGAATCCAACGGTAATAACCGACAACAGAGTGAGGCAAAATAAGCAATAAAAACTCCCACAAGCGGAACTTGTTTGCACAATTCCATCGTGATCGGTCACTTTTCACACAATCTGAATTCAACATTTGAACGAGAAACAACTCAAGTTCCGAAGTGATTCGGTCGGTAGCCCCCTGCCAAACGCCATACATACATAAATCAGTCAACACCAAAAATTCAGCCGTAGAAGCGACGTGCCCGGAGACAGGAAAAAAACATTTTCTTCAAGAGCAACTATCTCGGCATCACCATCCAAGTACATTGCTCCACAATAGTCCAGCTGTATCACAAGCAAACTCGCATCTCCAAGCTAGTTTGCCGTAAGAACGTCGACCCACTTCTACGGACACGGAATTGCGAAAAAAAAAATTGTTGTACCTATCCATAGAAAGAGCCACGCGAAAATCACTCGCTGCTCGCGGCACAGCTAACCAGAGTTCCCCATTTTCGGCACTCGGGTTGTTTTCGCAAAACGCTGTAGGATACCGTGCGCGGAAGATGAGAGCAACGCTTTTCATGAATGAAAAGCTCAGTTGTGACTGGTTAGGAGACAGCGAAATGCAATCTACGGTGTTCCGAACATAATAGTAATCAAAATAGGCCCTCGGGCTGGTATCCACGATACGGATGAGGCGGCGGTGCATCACTTCCGCCACGCGGATGTTGGCTATGAAGCGAGCCTCGTATTGGACTCGGGAGTAAAGGAGGAGCACGGACAATGTTGGGAGGAATCGATCCAGGTCTGGAACCTATTACAGACTCTGCATTCGGGATTGGCTTGCCTGAAATACAGAAATCGGAAAATAAGTCACAAAATAAAATCAAAATGTTCAACGTCGAGAAGAACAAAATTTTCAATTTGAAGAAGACGTTGAAACGGGAAGTAAAGCAATTTCCAGAGTGACAAGGTTTGTTCATCACCATCTATACTTACGAATTCGGAAAACTGACATAATTGAATTGTACAGTGAGGAATCAAACGGCAACTGCTTCCCAGGGAGGGGTTTTATTCGATTGGCACAGTACAGCAATACGGTAGCAAAATTATTTTCTACATAGTACCTCCAACCTCCAAGGAGAGACCACTGTTGAAAATAGGTCGGAATTTTTTCTTAAATCCACCATCAACACTTCAAAATGCACTATCACGCTGTCCAAATAAAAATGTCCATAGTATTACGGTACTGACGGAGAAAATCCGCAAATTTTAACACGCTTCTTCCTTACAGGAACAGTAGAGGTCGAAAACCGACTACTGACCTGATCCAGGCAAAAAGGCACCAGAAGCATTAGGATTTCTAACAGGAGCTGAAGCTACGGGCATTTGAGGCACAGGCATTGGAGCAGCGGATGAGTCCACCGGAAGCATTGACGACGTAGGTCCCATCACTGCACCGGATCGCATCAAGCTAGACTTGATACTTTGCGCCAATTGCATAGTCTCGGGATCTAGAATTTTCTGCAGAAGACGATGTGATTTCCATTTCAATATTCAATGGAAATTAATTTTAAACTTTCCATCTTTCACATCTTTTATTAATTTTGAATGCGTTTTTATTTCCGAGTTCACTTCAAATTCCTTTGTATCATTTGCAGAAATCGATGGTAATCGCCTGAAGACTACTGCATTCGACAATTACAATGGTAATTCCAGAGAATTGAGAACTATTCAATTGATCAATACGGTTGAAGGACACAGGGCATTTCAGAACTAGAGACAGGAAATCAAGAACAAAATTCGGGCCAACTAACTTGACTTGAAAGAGTTTCAAGCAACTGAAACAACTCGTTCCGGGGCATGTGTTGTAAATCTTGCATGCCCCGATTGCCACCGGTTGTTACGGGACGGTGTCCAGCAGCCGCCGACGAACCAAGCAGATGATTCATACGACCGAGATCGCGTTGCAACTGGCCTTCTTCTTGAGCACTTACACCTGCCCCCTTAAATTTGGATGGACTTGACGAAGTACTCGAGGTACCCCCGAACCCACCTTCTCGCCTGGGCGCTCGCTGAGCCCTGCGATTCACAGAACATAAATAGGACGCTTTATTACTTGATACAGTACAGTTCTTAAACTTTCCCAAGGCAAGTTCCCCGCCAAAAACTCAGACCAAGCATATGCTATTTTTGTAAAACATACTAAGTTTCACAAGTGATATCAGATAACATTGTTGCCTCATTGAAGGATCACATTTCGTGTCGAAGTGCGGTTTCTTCGTTTGGATTCTTTGGAATGATCATTTCATCGACCGCGCGATATATTTGATGAACGAATGGATAAATTTGTAAATGTACACACGCAGTGGTACATAGTATGAGCCAGGGTTTCAAGATTAAGGCACTTCTGGCCAACAACGCCAGTTCTTTGTCTGGCTTTTTTGTTGAAGACGTTCGTTGCATGAGGTATCCTTGTGGCTCAATGAGATCAGTATTTCTGACGCGCTCACGGAGAACTTGTTTTAGGGTTCAGCTAATTAATGCCAATCTTGGATAAATTTATAAAATCAGACGAACTGATTAAAATTCAGGACAGTCTTATGAATTGCCCTTAAGTTATAGAATTACAGTACTGTAGATCTCGTTACAACGAATTTCATTTTAACAAATAGTCGATTACAACTAAGTCGTTTTCCATGCCTCTGCTTAATAACCACAATGTTATGAGTTCCGTAAATAACGAATGTTTCTTTACGAAGAAGCGATTTTATTGGTCCCTATGGCTTCGCACTAACGAGATTGTACCGCACTTCACTGTAAATGAGAAGCTCAAGTCTCGCATTTCATTTAGTTTGAATCATACTCACAAAAAATCCGAAGATTCGCCCATCTGTCTAAAATTTTGCGGCTTTCCAGGCGGAAGGGGTTGTTGGAGCCCAGCTTCCTGCTCCCTCTGTGCTCTCTTTCGCTTTTTGCTCCACATCTCGTGACAATCTTGATGTTTTGGTAAGCTACTCCACGAAATTCTATACATTTGAACGAATAAAACATGAAAATGAAAACAAAAGCAACGTCAATCAATTTTGACTTGAACCACGGACCACGGTCTCATACTTATCTCGGAACAATCGGAAAATATTTCATGGCACATTTGATCAGGAATATTCGGAGAGAATGCTCAAAGCTTTTCCTGACAACTAAACAATCGTTGCTCATTTCCTTCTCGACTCGAATCAATATGAAGAGAAACAATTGAGCTTGAAATTGAAACGGTCAACGTACTTTTCCGGATCAACATCCCGCAACCATTTATGCTTCAGGGCATCAACCGCAGATATCCGTTTGCTCGGATCCAACTCAAGCATGCGATCCAACAAGTCCAATGCGAGGTTAGGCATGAAGGCATACTCTTCCCGGACACGCCGACGATGAGTCTTCTTCGGCTTCAGGTTGCGCCATCCGGGCAGCTTAATCACGTTCGGCCACACAGCAGGTGTAGGGGACCCGCAAATCCGAGATATGACTTCCAATTGTTGCAGTTCTTGGCCTGCCTGTAATCGTTCCAACATTAAAACTGATTTTTTTTTCAACGTCGAAGCGAAATCCAAGGAATATACCTGTTGCTTGTACTTTAAATGTCAACGACATTTCAAACCAAGGACACTAACTCAAGGTACAGTAAACGCTTAAAAATACAAACCTCAAAAACAGAAAACAACTTGCGATCATGTATGAAAAATACGGTTATAGTGAATTTTGGACAATAATCAACAATTATGTTTAGGAAAGTGTATCAACGTACACTTAATTCTCATCTCACTTTCAAGAATCGACCATGCAGTAGAGCTAACATTTAGAGAAGTAGAATGTAAATCGAAACACTTCATCAATTGTACTGTACAGCACATGAATCGGAAACACCATAAGCTGAACTACACATCAGAAAACACAGATTTTTGCCGTTTTTCGCAGTGTTGCATGCGACAACCTGTTTCAAGTTTCATGACACCATGGGTTACGGGAAAATATACACGAAACGTCACACGAAACATTTTGATTTCGACGCAATGAAAGCATTTCTTCTTTGCAGTACTTTTTCCGAAGGATTAGTCCCGTTTCCAGCTTCATGATTTAAAATGAAGCATCTCCGTCATGCTTCAAAGCTACGTTCAATTCGGACAACGCAGTACAGGTCAAGTTCAATCAAATTATAACAGCAGTTTTGGATAGTCATTACTAAAATGGATTATCGTAACTTTAGAACTACTATATGGATATAAACAATGCTACGTTTTGGAAGACTGAATCAGGGCAGATTGAATCAATGAATCAGGAATTCTTCAAATTACCTGGAACAATGGCTTCTTCAAAAAAAGCTCGCCTAAAATACAGCCACAAGACCAGACATCAATCGCTGGTCCGTATTTTTCTTCGCCCAGGAGCAACTCCGGCGGACGATACCACAGCGTGATCACTTTGTTGGTGTACGGGCGTTCGGAATCTTCCTCGTACAATCGAGCTAACCCGAAGTCAGCAAGTTTCACTTGGCCCCTAATTCCCGAAGCACAGCATAATATTTTCCTGCACGTGAAATATGTACGCCTCCGAACTTACTTGTTATTCATGAGAATGTTGGAGCACTTGATATCTCGGTGCAAGAAATTACGATTATGGCAATATGAAAGCCCTTCAAGCAGCTGTCGCATGATGGACGCGTTATGAACTTCAGTGAACTCCATGAGTCCACTCTCGAGAAGCCCCATGAGGTCATGGTCCATGAATTCGAACACAAGATAAAATGATCCCCGATCCTGCGAAAGAATACATTTAAGGGACTTCATTACTGAGAAATCTTTAAAATATTTCATCAACTTTTCTTCATGAACCGGAGATAACAGAAAACATTTTCAGATTCAACTGTAGATAATGGAAAACTCACATTCAGAAAATCGAGGGCGTTGCGCTTATCTGTCACAATCTCCTTCAGATTCACAATATTCTTGTGATTGAGTTGCCGAAGGATTTTTATTTCCCGAACAGCGGTGATCGGGAACCCTTCTTTCTCGTTCTCGAGTCTTACTTTCTTCAACGCAACCAGTTCCTCTGCAAAAAAAAAAGATTATTCTCTTCAAAATCATGCAAGTATTCCGATGGAAAACGCGGCCCGCGAAATCGCCTAGATTCACGATAAAATAAGCAGCTGTTGAAAAAAAATCTTCTGATTCAACCTATGCTTCATGGGTTCATTAAAAATAAGGTTATCCTCGAGAACAAGATGTAGGGACAAATATTAATTTCCAAGATAAAATCTTGTGGCAAGCTCTGCATCCCAATATGGATGTACTGTATCACGAAGTAGAGCTTCTTAGAAAAATCCCTGATTAATTTGACCTAGTCACGTAACAATGAACAAGCATCATCGGTCGCGAACAGACGTTTACTTACTCGTAACTTCATCTTCCGCTTTGAACACCTGGCCAAATGTGCCTTCACCGATCAAGCTGAGCACCTTGAACATTTCCACACAACGCTCTCCCCAGTCGTGCAAATTCTTCGTTGGCGACGGTGGTCTGCGGTCAAATATTCGAGGACGTTTGGTTGATGGCCTCGCGAGGCGCCGGACTTCGCCGGCATCGGACAACGGTGATCCGTCTGGCACTGGAGGCAGGGGCGGCGGTGACGGAGGCGGCGGTGGCGGCGCCAAGGGATGGTGATAATGCATCATCGAATCCCGGAAATCGGACGGGAAAGATCCAACGCCAAAGCCACCATAAGACGCCATTCCGGGATTCTTGCGAGTTGCGAAGTCCTGATCTAGAAGCCAAAACAGAAAAACGGACTTCGTTAGCATTTGAAAAGAATATAAAACTTTCGAGAGGCGTGAAAAAAGTGCAATTCGCTAACGAATTAACCAAATTGCACGCAGGGAGTGGTATGTTCAGACACTCATTTGGCCCATGAGTCAAATCTCTGTCATAGTTCCTGCAAGCTCACCACGAGAGTGGAAAAGCGAGAAACTCGAAGAGCAAGGATGTGTTGTCATCATATTCGGATAAAATCCAAAAACTATGCGTGCACTCCATAACTGTCGACGATTTTCCGATACTGTCATTCTCAGACGAAGTGATATCTCGATAAAAATAACACCATAAAACTCCATTTTCTTCACCAATACTCTCACTGATTTCGTCAGAGCAGTGCTCGTCTGAATATGATAGTACGGTACGACAGTCAGAAATTCGTAAATTTGCTTCAACATACGGTAACGGAAAACATTACACTGACACTTACTTGAGTGACTATCTGGTGCCATCGGTGGCATGGGTAAATCTTTCAGGTTCATCTTGCGTTCTTTCTTAGCCCTTGTGATATCCCGTTTCTTTTTCGGCGTTAGTCCTCCGGCACTAGACGGACTTGAGTCAATGTTATCCAATTCCATACTGCTCAGGTCCATTCCAGGCGGCATGGGCATTTCTAGGATCTTCGATCCGCCATTTTCGGGCTCAGTAACCAACGTCCTGGCGGCATCTTGGTCCTCGGCTAATCTCTGACTCGCAGATATTGCTTCTGCCGGATCCTCCACTTCTCCATCTTCCAGTCCATCCTCCTTTAAAACATTGAAGAAAAGCATGATACTCAATCAAGCTTTATTTTAAAAAAAATGCTCATTCAAATCTTCAACACAGCGTGATTACCAATACATTATTTCTTGCAGTTCAACATCACAAGGAACCGGAGAAAGGTCAATCTCGAAAAGTGAAGGAAGAAGCAAACAGAAATTTCTCACGTGCGTCTTCAGAAGGTATGAACGTCGGTTTGTAATTTTTTTTTTCAAACCTCCATTATCTCTTGCGCAAAGGGTGAATAGATTTAAAGATTTGTAGATTACCGTAATAATTTGACCGTTGCCAGAATAAGTGTTCCGATTTTTGTTGCCCATTGTTAACACGGTGAGAAGGTACAGAGTTGAAAGAACCGGGACCAAAAAAAGTTTATCTGCGGGTAAACTGGCATGTCATGAATCTGAGGGTAGTCCAACTGCTACCACATACAGTGAAGTGATCGAAAATTTCTTCAACGACCATGTTCCAGATAATAGAACATGTTTCAAAGCAGAAATGTCAAGTTCATAGCAGTTTGTAATAGTCATTTTGAATACGAAGGTTGGCTTGAAATGTCGATTGATGACGAAAAAGTTGACCAAGAGCAGAATGAAATCAAGAAAGTCAAAAACACATTAATGGCGTCTTTTTTGGTGGCCTTTTTATCGATCCCATTATAGTTTCCCGGCGTCCTACTCAGAAACTGGGTGACCCAAAGTTCATTTCACGGTAAGGACGATGCCTTTGAATTTCGCTTCACAATACATAACATACTGTACACGTCTCACCTCTTTCGAGTCTTTGGAATCACCATCAACCTTCAGCAAAGCTTTGAAGGCGGGTGAGGAGCCTGACTTATCCTCATCCTCCCCGGTCTTCCAAGTTTGCTTTCTCAACTGAGCGAACAACGCGGTATCACTGAGTTTGTCGTCGACTTTTGATTTACGGGCTTTTCCGCGACCCGGAGAACCCGCAGTGGTTTTGAAACTACTACCGGTAACAGATTTTGACAAAGCTTTCGAATCCACGTTGCGTCTATCGCGACTTCGACTCCGCTCTGATCGTCGACTGCTGCTTGGTGTACCAGGAGACTTGGAACCTCTTGCTTTATCTTTCCCGTCATACCGCGTCTTTTTCGCCCTGCTGCAATAAAAAAAGGAAGTACTGTAAAATATTTTCAAAAAGGAATTTTTGGGAAGTTCAGAAGAAGTTTGTCATACTTAATAATTTGCTATAACGATACAGAATTTAAAAATTAATTACTGGAAAAAATAATACTGAAAAATCTGTTGCAATTGTATTTGTTGTAAGGATAGTTTACTGCAGTTTATTTGAATACGGTACTGTAGATTACTTTAGCACAGGAAAAGAAGGTCGTAGAATATTTTTAAATGCAAATGAGGATATTTTTATTTGTTTACAATACAGGATACAAAAGCGTTGAAGAAGTAACTTGACTTACTTTCCATCTGGGGTGCGTGAACGAGATCTACTTCTAGACGCAGCATGTCTATTCCGCTTCGATGCACCTGGAAGAGAGGAATCCCCACGGAATTGCTTTCCTCGCGGCGACAACGGTGTTAGGCCGCGTTTCAGTGAATCAGGTGAAGATGTTAAAGGACGCCTCGGCGGAGTCCCAGTAGATCTCGAACGACTCCGCCTAGACCGCTTTCTAGATCGCCGCTTGCCCGACGAACCATCCGAACTCAAAGGACTGCCGAGATCATCGTAAGGCCGCTTTTCCGGCGATCTCCTTCGACGCTTGTCCCTGCCGTTCACTGTCCCATTGACGTCGTCGTCCGAGGAAATCGGCTCCAAATCCTCCGGAGACCGGCGGCGATGCTTCTTTTTCTTCTTGTCTTTCCGTTTGTCGTGCTTCCGCTTTTTTGACTTGCGATTTTTACTCGAATCGCGCGACGGAGAATGATGATGCGGTGGCCCGGAACGACGGCCCCCCGCGTACCGATGGGAATCGCCGTCTCCCCAGGCGTCTCTATAGTCCAGTCCGGACCAGTGCCGCGGCGGTGGCGGAGGAGGAAGTGGGGCCAGGCGACCACGCGGCGGAGGTTCATCGTAGTGGCGGCCGTTCCGGCGGTTCTTCGGACGTCTACCCCCCATATCGGGACTTCCACCGTCCTTCAAGCCGCGCCTGTCGTCGCCAGAAAAATCTTCGGAACTAACGTCGGAGTAGTCAACTAACTTCTTCCCCGACATTTTAGCGCGACAACGCGCAGAGAACCTCCAGCCGCGGACCGCAAAATTGAACCACAATTTCGCAGACAAAACACCGCATTTCTACGTCTGCTACATAAATCGAAAGATCAGAACCATTCACGGGTTAACCCAACAAATTCTGCGAACAAAAAAAAAGAAGGAACAAAAGGTTGAGAACGTAATCCAACAAGCACTGCAATGACTGCATTAAAATCACACGGTTAAGGATTTCAACGCAATGCTTCTTCCCAGCAACGCGACGAATTAGTACATCCGCATTGGCCATTCTCACACTGGTTTCATAGCCACTAGAATCACTCATTTGAACTGCTGCGACGGCGGTGACAAAAAGCCCGTGCTTTGCCGACTTGCTGCTCTTGAGGGAGCAAATCCAAGAACCTTTTGAATGTTCTGAAACGTAAAACAATACATTAGCCCGTCCCCTTGAATATTTAAACGGTTCTTTCATAACATGTCACGTCCGAACTAACAAACCTGACGGACGAACATGGTTGACAGAATATACAGGAACAAGAACGAACAATCCGTGTTATCGTCCCCCATTAGATTTCTATGAGATATGCCTTGTAGCCATGAGATAGGCACGAACGGCAACTTGGCGACAACTCTGCCGTCAAATCTGGAGCGAACAATTAAAACCACGTCGAAAATAGCGGAACACTTGATTTGAATAAATAATTGAATAACTCACATTGAATTGAAAGTAGATAAGAGTGCAGTGAACACAAAGCCTATGGCCAGAACCGATTTCATCTTCACCAACTGCAAATCTCGATTGTTTACTTTCAAACGCTCCTCCTCTCGTTCGATCTTCTTCTTCTGATTTCTATCGGCGGCATCCCCGTGCACTTCCTTTTTCTTTTCAACTGCAGAAGGATCACTTCTTTCAGTACACCGCGCCTGGCAATTGTTTTTTTCTCTCTCAATGAAATCTGCGATACTTACGTCTCTTGCTTTGTTTTTCAACTTCTAGTTTCAGCTTTTGGTACTTTTCGGTGCGGTACACAAGTAACCACGTCAGTCCCTCACCCAGAAAAGCAGTACACACCGATATAAAAAAAATTAAAATACAATCCGTCCACATAGTTTTCTACCAGGCACGAATGGGATAACGAGCCTGCAGAAGAGCAATGGAAAAAACCGTCTTTTACGAACTTCACTCAAGTAAAAATCAAACAAAAATTATAGAATCACATAATCAAGTACGCATGACATTAATCGTCACGTATTGATCACACGAGCAACTCAGAACACAGGCAATGGCTGCATCACAAAAATACACCGGTAACCGAACACCTGGAAATGGTTACAATCGCGACTTTAACGCGAACAGGCCAGACATCAATGTACGACGAACATAACTTCGATCAATGTGAACTACGGCACAAAATAAACCTAAGGAACCGCGGGCCAACTTGCGTCAGACGAAAAAAAAGAAGACACTGTACAGGTCCAGACGATGAATTCATGATCAGAAGGCGTCACGTACGAAAACAAGAGTTTGTGAACCAAATCAATAAACCTCACGAAGTTACGACTACGGATAACGTTTTTCCTGATTCACATCGCACTTCACTGATGTCTTACGAATGAAGCCATGAACAAAATTCCATTTCATCTTCAATTAATCACATTCTAGGAGCTAGAAATACATCGCCTCCGTGTCAATCGGTTCCCTTCTTTCACAATACTTAATACGCGTCTCAGAACGGGCAAATATTTCGATTCTCTCCAGGAATCCTGGGGAAGGCATGAAGGGACGCGAACCAAAGACAAAACCATCATGACAGAGAAAGACGAGTTTCACGACGTTTCAACAAACGACTTATTCCACCGCTGAAGAATTTCTTCGCAATTCGAGCTGAATACGCGGAACAAATCTTACGATTTCCAACACATGAAACGCTTCACGCCAAGTAATAGCCACCCTCTCGCGCTCGACAGGGTTTCTGCGTGGATACAGGTTTCAGTTACATTCTGCAGCATAGGTTACTGCAACACAACCACTGAAGTGGTTCATTTCCTCTCTACGCACGATGAACGAGGTAGCACGGTTTGAATCCGACAACGATTACGCAACATTCCCTCCTCATCACCATCGTCGACAATACACTTAAACTGGCTCTCTTCTCTCAGTCAAAAATGTTCAGCCACGTTTAGGCGGTCCTCCTAATTCAAAGGTATCACGATGTGTTGCAGTCCGAGGGTTGGTTGAGGTAAAAGACATCAACAGCGAAAGCAACCAGGACACGGCTCACCAATGTTCATTCACGAAACATAGAGAAATGCTTAGTTGAGCTGCGGCGCTTTATTGGAGCATGTCTTCGAAGCAAAACATGATCAATTCAGAAATCAAACCAAGTTTATCTTGCATCTCTGGGAATTTTGAGCTGCCTCCAGCGTCTTTACAAAGGTACAAAGCTCATTGCAACAATTCGATCTTTGAGCCTCGAATCAAAGACGAAGCAATGGACGATAAGTTTGGGAAAAAATTTCAGCGAAGAAATGGAAGTGTCATTCAAAATAAAATATTTGCTCTTTCTATCGAAAATTCGAGCTCAACCAGTTCATACTGTACTTTCAAGAAGCCTCGCAGGCTGAAAAAAGAAAAAAACTTTAGAGTGGTGAATATGCAATTACTTTAGCTCGTTTCGTGCAACCGAGGAAAAAAAATTTTTCCGACGAATATTTCGGTCCAACGGGATTCACATTCACGTTCTCGGAAAGCACAACAGAATTTCAGGGGAGAAGCAAAAACTTAAATTCAAATCCCCTGCAGGACAGCACCGCAACTCAACTTCGCAAGATCCCTACTTCTATTCCGAGGAATCCACTCTCATCAATCGCAATTTTCAAAATGTAGACATTCACAGGTTCTAGAATACAATGAGATCCCAATTCTTTCCCGAGCAAATATTCAGGTCATTTAGAAGCACCACCGTGATTATCGTAATTGAACGAACTGAACAAAGCTCTCTCAGAGCACTCCTTGAGCGCAACCTTGTGCATCTCATGATCCGAACTTAATTCAACAACGGAAGACCAAATAAGACAATCCTATAATGGAAGAACCAATTCATAAATACCTCTGGAAAACGAAAGTGGAATTGAATCGTGATCAGGCAATATAACGTGGTTTTTCCGAGCATTCTGGTAACTTCAACAGTTTCATACCACGATCATTTAAGAATCAATCTCGAACCATTTACGGAACCAGTCACAGAACTACGGAACCTGTCGTTAGGAATAAATCAGAAACGTGATCCAGTATACAGTAGTTCTCGAAACCAACGAGCTAATTCCAAAGCCACAGGCATGAAATTAATGACCTTAAACGAGCAATTTTAACGATCGTGAACTATTTGTACCAAAACTATTATCAACCGATCGGTCCTTCCGATCCTTGAAAGTCTGGTTGAATCTTCCGGAAGGAATAATACAAGTAGCTTTCCCATCGGATAATCGCGCCAGAACTCAGCAACGCGAAATTCACTAAGCTCGAGAACTTCAGTGCGTCACACCGGCAACAGACACACGAGGCAACAGTTTGTAATTCAAACGAATTACCTCTCGACAAAACACCAATGACGGACTGTCAACCATCAGGATGTTCACCCCGCCTTCCCCAGCACTTTGAGACATGATCCAATCCATGATGAGCGATTCCGCTTTCGGGACTAGAGAGGCTTTTAGAGTCGAAAAAATGTGTCGTGCCACGTAGCTGAAGTTCGGGGTGAGTACTCCTTGCGAAATGAAAAACCCTCGTTGATCTGCTCTTGATCGCAAACCTGCGTCCAGAGATTCGACTAGCTTTTGTGACATCACCGTGTTGGGCCAAGGGTTCGGGAAGGCACATGTAGGCCAGAGTACATCAGGATCCAATTTTCGAGATTCATGCCTATCGATACGGCGAAGAAAGTTCTACGGTAAGCAAGAGTCATCTAAAATATAATGACTACTGTGGTTTCAATTTCTCCACGGTTCTCCAAAAGCAGAATACAGGATTGCTTAAAATGGAATCCTTGGAGCAGATCAGTCGACCTAGACCATGATTTGCTACACCAAAATGTGTACGATCCTCAGTCTTATTAATTAAGGCGCTTTTTTTTCTTTTCCCGAGTGCAATGCTGTAGTTCGAAATGCCATTTTTTACAGAAACATAAACCCACGGCAAAGTATTTACATTCTTTGTCTGCGGATTTAATTTGATCATTGTCATAGTATTCTACATGAAAATGAACCATAGGTAACTGCAAAGACCAAAGCAGCCTTTTCAGCATTTCGAGACATTGAAATTTAAATCACATTTTCTCCACGCTACGGAAAAATCGTTCATACTCAACTTCAGATTTCCATTGCAACCATACACACGAAATTACACTTGAAAATTCTCAAAATGAATTTAATTTGAGCCGAGCCCAACGTCAGTTTTTAGTTTATCTAAATCCCTTAAAATATTCAAAGAGTTCTCGACCATCACTCGGAGATTCAGCGCATCAATGATCAACGCTTGCTACAGAAGCTTTACAACGGAATATCGTAATACAGTACAGGCAAACACATTAGTGCAAAGACGATCATCAGTATAATTTCAACAATATCGTCACGCACAAAGAGCACGCAAACAGCAACTCACCTATAAATTGCGATGACTTGACACGACTGAACAGCCATCCAGTTTAGAGAGACCGCTTCAACTCGACGTTGCACGGGACACAGCATGCAACCGAAAACACGCCTGATGATATTCACAACTTCCGCATGCGTCGCATCATCGAACTTATAGAAGTGTTGAAAGTCTAAGATCACAACTTCGCCAAGATGCGAGCCGAGAAACCTACGAATCTCCTTCAATAACGGCTCCAGCTCGGCCCCATACAACCCATGAATGATTTCTACTCTCTTCTCATTTTTGGCTCGCACGAGTCGGAAGTCCAGGTACCTGAAAGAAATTCATACACAGTGAGACCCTAAGATGCAGACATAATTGATGCATCAAGAGTGTCCCTAAGTTGAATTGTCCCCAAGTCAAGTCTTGTTTTCCCTTAGATTTACATTATATAATTTTCAATTGGTGTTTTATGGAAGGAATATTCTTCAGAATTTCCTGAAAAAAATTGTTTGCCACTTGAATTTTGAATTAGTGAATACATTATCAACTCAAGAACATTTGGAGCATTGCATAGTGTATCTCTGTACTGTACATTGAAATGTTGGCATCTACAAAAATAAAATTCAAGTAAAAAAAAGTGGAAGTCCCTCTATGCTGGAGGTAATTTTTTAAAATTAGCTAAATGAATGGTAAATTGATGAGAGAAAGTCCCAAGAACTTTTCTTAAATAAATTTTAGTGTTGTAAATATCTGATTATCGTAATTTGGCCTGAAATGTATTTGCAATTTCATCACAAAATGTCCCTATGTTGAGTCAGTGTCCTCATGTCGGGCCTTTTTTATTAATTTTTTATGGGAGAATAAGTGTCCCTATGTCGAATTGTCCACAGGTCAAGGTGTCCGCATGTGGGGGTCTCACTGTATTCCAAAATTTCAACTCAACCGGAATATACTGAAAAAATTCTAAACACTCATTTCAAAGACAGACGTAAACGGGTCTGATGAGTTGATATGCAGTCCATACTTTCAATTGGGTTAAAATCCCAAGTAAAAATGCGCACGTAAGTCAATCGAAATCGGTGTTGGTACAGTATCCTGTACTACGAGAAGGTTCTAGAATTCTCAACGAGGAAGAACTGCTAACAAGAGAAAATATAAAAACATTTTTTTAAACCAAATTAATTATTTCATGCTACTCTCGCAATGCGTACGCACTCACAAAAGAAACTCCGAAGCGAACGAAACTTGGGATTCTTCAAGTTATTTAAAACAAAATTGCCAACTTTTGCGACTACTGATGACATCTAATCTCACTCGAGCAGCGTGTCATAGCAATGAAAATCTACAGTAAAAAAATTAAACTTCAGAAAACAATCTATGAAATATAGCATGGAATAAATTACAGGTGAACTCTCTCTACCACGATCTTGTCCAGAAAAATTTTCTGTGCGTAACAAATAAATTTTCAGTCCCGAAGGTTTTTCTCCTCCATGTTAAAAGGCTTCTCTACAACGAAATTCTCCCCACAAAGATTTGCTTTTTGGTCCCTCGAATTTCGTTGTTGAGTCACTTGTACTTCTGGACACCCTGGATATTAGAAAATGATCAACAGAACTTTCAGCTCAAAATTCGACGCAACGGATGACTAACCTAACACCTATATTCAGTTGTTCAACGGCTGACATGTCCTCGGTTCTACTCCAGTTCATTAGTACCCGTCGTCCTATGGGCCCGGAAACCCTCACAAGCCTTCTAATGTACGCGGGTTGATCTGGTCCAACCGTGGACGAAAGACGTAGCGAATACGTGAACGAATCATGCGACCCTGTAAATTAAATGATTCAATAATATCAGGCCAGAAGAAACATCGTCATATGTACACCGGCGTATGAATGATGATCGAAAAACAAGGGTTCGAATTAATCTCACGCGTACTGAATTGACAAAGAAAAAGCACACGGGGTTGCCAATGACACTCACCAGGAATGGCAATGTAGGCTAGGGGAAGACTGCGCAAGGAATGTGGAAGTTCACCCATCCAGTTTTGCATTTTGGCCAAAGCCTGCGATGTTTGAGAGGTCGGGCGGCAAGGATCCCACGCAAGTGCAATCCAGTTCGCGATCACTCACCGTGTCGCACTACGCATCGTCAAAACACTGGAAACGATCGCGAACGCCGCAGACCCTCAGTCTATTCTTCTGAAGATATACACAGTGTCACTCTTCCGCGAATATTAATCAAAGCGATCATTCCAAATGAAAAAAAATCCGAAATTCAGATGCATTTTCAACTGTCACTCGATCACATTCCCGGGTTTACGCAGAATTACTGTCCGAAAAAATTGGACGAGGACGAAGAATACGAATAAATGAAAGTTTGTTTCTTCTGAAAGTCTTCAGAAATGGCAGTGAACTGCTCAAAACTAAACTGCCCACAAGTCAAATATTTGGCACAATGCAGATACCAATCTGTGCAAGAATCAGAACTTTAACTGACCAAATGCGATTTCAAAATTCAATAAGCTGAATTTTTTAGCAAAATGGAGACGCATCTCCCGAGTTAGGCGGTTCACTTTCCCTGCATTTTTCTTTTTCCAGACTTCAGCAGCCAAAAATGCGTTTCACATTTGTAGAATGACTCGATTCTGACTGTGCGAACGGACTATACAAAGACGGTTGGCGAGTCGACTCATGCACCTCTTTTGGTAATCCTCATTAAGACAACTCCGGCCCGAGAAATCATCACCCAACGGAAATCAAGCGTCCGCGAGAACATGAAAAACGTTCCCGACAAAAACAGAACAACAAAACTGATCACTTCAATAAGGCCCAGCCAAGGAGTAGCAGTACATGTTCGATAACCATCGACTACCAACCGTCTTCTGTGTTTGCTATATGGGCATACTTGCCCTCCGCTCCATTCGACGTACGGCCTGCAACAACTGGTCGACGAAAGGTCGATCCTCAGGTTTCGTTTTGAGTAGCCACAATATCAGGTCATGCACTTCCTGAAAAAAGAACGAGAATCATGCGGGCATAAGACCACATTGATGAGGAGGGAATGATTTACTTTTGAATAAACAGAATCAGCAGGAATGAGGATTCTTCCACTCATCACCGCTAATGCCACACTGTCTCCACGACGAACGACAGCGTCAAAAGGCGATTCAAAGAAGCACATGGCGTACAGGATACATCCCAAGGACTGGAAGAGAAGATTCGGCATCAAATCATAAAACCAAGGTAAAATTATCCCGTCTGAATTGGAAAAAAATTAAGAGCATCGATGATTTGCATGAAGAAGCTCCCTTAAATTGTCACACAACGAAACTTGCGTTCACGACGAGGAAACGTCGCTCAACTAGAGAATGATTGGGAGTAAAATCTCACCCAAACATCAGTACGTTGATCTATGACAGGAGACAAATCTGACATGTGCTTCTTTGAATCGCCTTTTGACGCTGTCGTTCGTCGTGGAGACAGTGTGGCATTAGCGGCGATGAGTGGAAGAATCCTCATTCCTGCTGATTCTGTTTATTCAAAAGTAAATCATTCCCTCCTCATCAATGTGGTCTTATGCCCGCATGATTCTCGTTCTTTTTTCAGGAAGTGCATGACCTGATATTTTAAATTGTCACACAACGAAACTTGCGTTCACGACGAGGAAACGTCGCTCAACTAGAGAATGATTGGGAGTAAAATCTCACCCAAACATCAGTACGTTGATCTATGACAGGAGACAAATCTGACATGAACAGCTCAGGAGCACGGTAAGGCATGGTACATTTTTCGGCTGCGGAATCTTCCAACATACGGGCTTGACGTCCAGTTGAAATGTTCACCACCGCCTTGTCCGCCGATCCTATCACGCGGAATATAGCACGGCATTCAAAACAAAATGGCTCCGATTCAGCGAATCAGATACTGTATATTCGTACAGATGAGTCAGCTATTCTTTAGGACAAACGACTTTCACTCCGTAAGGCAAAAAAAATTCCGTTACACCCACAGAGAGAAACTGAGAAGCTGCAATTCCAGGTTTGTTTCAAGAACAAGCTCGAATAAACCCAACACCCGTCTTCAGCGACACTTGAATTAGGATGGAACGATGCACGTGCAAATCTGCTTACACCGCAACCTTGTTCGGGACACAAAGGTATTAAACTTGAAGCTCCCTCTTTTTCTTCCTTACAACACACTGGAAAAATTCTAATGCCACTAAGAGAATCATTCAATGTCAAATCCATCTAGGATGATTGAAGGTGTGAAACTACAGAAGGTGCTCAAACTAACCATCACACTTTCCTGCGAATGTGCTTTTTAACTGAAGCACGAGATCACGTATTGAATCACTGGGAAAATTAAATCCGATGAAAAAAAAAAAAAAAAAAGTTAACAACACTGAACCGAAAGATGATTATCAGACGAAAACTAAAGTCATGAGTATTACCGAAGTCAATGATGATTGGAGTGAAGTTGTGATCGAACATTATGTTTCCCGGTTTCAAATCGCGATGTGCGAGAGCCTCAGGACGCAATGAATGTATTGCGTTTACACCTTCACAGATTTTTCGAAAAGTAGCTATCACGAAAGCCTCACTGTGGTGACTTCTAGTTTTCTGTCGCTTCTCCAATTCCTTCAACAGACTGCCTCTCTGAAAGAATATCAACCGGAACAATCTTAAATTTCAAAATATCATAAGCAACGAGTAACTCATCACTGATCGGAGACTTACTCACAGGAAAATAAGGCATCACAAGGTACACTTTACTGGTGGCGTGAGAGCTTTCTCCTGCGTGACCAAGTACACCGTAATCAACGCATTTTACAATGTTGGGATGGTCAAATCTCTCCAGGATCCGCGCTTCATCAACAGCTGCTTTCTCATCCCCATCCGAGTGACATACAGTTTCTTTGATTGCATAGAGACTTTTTGACTTCTTATCTTCAACAAGGTAAACGGTGCTGAAGCCTCTGAAAAATCGTATACAAAAAGTTCATCAATTAGTTTTCTGGACGGATTTTGAATAACTCACCCTTCTCCTATAGTCTCCTTGATGGTGAAATTCCTGCCGTTAACACGAATCAGGGATTTCCCGCAACAACCAAACATTTTCACAGTATATCGGTAAAATAATTGGATGCAACGCACAACACAACTGAAAACGAAAGAAATCATATCGCTAGAAGGAAAATCCAAGTCGAGGAGAGAATCGCCAAGAGGGATTAACACAGCGAATCAACCTTTAATGGTTATCTGAGGATTCGCCTTCCCCGCATAGGACCCACGGGTCGCCGTAGTCTTTTCCTTTCTTCCAAGTGCTGCTTTTTCTCAACTTCCCGCAAGTTATTTCTGCGCGATTTGAGCTTGAAAGTGATCTCCTTCGAGCCTAAGGCGTGATTCGCAACGACTTCATCTTCGTCCCGCTTTTCCAACAGCTCACCCAGCGTGGCTTTCCGTTTTTGCCGAGCTTGACTTTTCGAAGGGTCATCTATCTCTTTCACGACTGCCTTAGTTTCTTCTGGCTCACGTTCCACAGACGGAGAGGATGGTCTCTTTCGCTGCATTTCGCGATACTGTTTTCTTAGTTCCTTAGCGATTTCTCGCTCATCTTCCGAAGATTCATCCGAGGATGATGCGTCTCCGTCGACCATCATTTCGTCCGCAAGCCGAAACTCTTTCGCTTTCGCCACGTTTTCTTTCTTCATTCTGCTCCGCTTTTCCAAGTTTGCAACCAGCGGATTCAAAAGGCGATAATCATCTGACTGTTCATCGATCTGGAAATCTGGATTTTTGAACATAACACCAAAGCGTTCATCTTCGATTAAGCGTGGATCATTGGCTTCGTTGAGTTTCTTTGCCAAGGATCGATTAACCTTAGGAAGCGAATCCTCTATTTTTACTCTGCTTTCGGTGGCTTCACCAAGCTTCTCCTTGATTCTGCGTTTACGGTAGTCTTCGAAGGCAAACGGATTCGCAACGATTTTCGCACGTTCATGCAGTCTGCGATCGATGAAATATCCATGCATGTAGGCACGAAGTAGATCAGATCCGATCAGGTGACCAAGCCCAAGTTCTTCCAGCTCGTTCTTCGTAACGAATTTGTAATCATCATAGAGCACGTTTCCAGTCGTTTCTTCCAGCTCTTCCGTCAAGTTGTCAAGAAATGAACACCAACGAGGAGCGGGGCCGAGACTTGGAATATAATAAGTGAGCATTTTCTTGGATTCGTTTGGCATGAACAACAAACCAGTTTCAGGCACGGCACAGAGTCCATTCAATTCAGACTTTGATTCGATCGCAGTGTACGGCTCTCCTGACTTACGGTCCCACATCTTCAATACTTTGGAATCCACAGAGAAGACTAAATCGGGATTTGAGTGGAAAGCTATGGACTTGATTGGTAGTTTATTGAAATGATCCTTCATCAGAAGTGGCGTCGGCGATCTGATGTCGTATAAGATTACTCTACCATCTGATGTTCCAACGGCAGTAATTAAACCGTCATTTCGTGATTTCAGAGACGTGATAGGCACATCGGCGGCTACAACAGATCCAACTACTTGACGTGATCTAGGGTCTCTCGCTTCAACGACTCCATTCATAGATCCGGATGACAGCAAGTAATGCCTCACGTTTAGGTCAAGCTTCGTTAACGATGGACACAGGCTTGATGAAAATGGAGCTTGAAACTGGCCAGCTTCTAAATTATACCGATAAATTTCTGAACCAGTTCCGGAGAGATACAGATCACAATTTGTGTCGTTATACACCATATCACGCCCAAATCTAGGAATCCGAATCTTGTGATAGAATCCTTGTTGGGTGTGAAACTCCACATAACGATCTTGCTCAAGGATAATAAGTTTCTTGTAGTCCTCAGAAAGCAGCAATAATTTTATAACTTCAGCATCCAGGCAGCGTTCGAACTTCAAACTCATATTCGAAACGTCAAAGCATTTGATTCTTGGTTTGTAGATACCTAGAAGATTCGATTCGCACGTTAATACGAATACTGTATGTCAATCGAAAGCTACGGTATAAGTAACTCACCAGCTGCAAATATATACTGGTTATCACGGGAAACTTCAACAACATTCGAAACGTCAGGCATATCAAAATCTTGAATCAATTCTATTCTCTGCCGAATGTCTACATCTTTCTGGACAAGTCTGCGACGTTTCCTAGCCGAAATCCATTCCGGAAGACTTTTTCCAGCACTCAAATTGTATATTTTAACGTCATTCGTCGGACAAAGAACCTCCATTTGCTCTTCCGAATTCAGCGACCTGAGAATCAGGATTTATCAATGCAATAAATCGTGTAAACAAAGATCGCACCTGTTTTCGCACTGGTGAAAAATGTCAAAGGTATCAATTCACACGCGTAATAATTAGTTCCCGGTTTAGAAAGCCACCACATCGAATTCCGAGAAGATTAAGAAGCATCCGTAACGCGTAATAATTCGAAGTCTGAATTATAACTACAACAGTTCATCACCACCGCCAGATCGACTTCATCCCGCAAAGGGTTGGACATGGGCAGAGGCCATCGTAGCGCGGTCAAGAAAGATGGCGGTTCAAGACAAAGTGTATGATGCAAAATCAAAGAAAACATGGTACGACGCATCAACCGCATAAAGCTGTAGAGGTGTGTTAGTCAATTTTTGCTGGACTTCCCGTGTAAGTCGGAAAGCTATCCGTACATATGAAACATTTTGCATATCCTATTGTGGTATATCCTACCTTCTAAATGCCCGTGAAATTAAACAAAGTGCGGGAAGCAATGCAGTGTTATGAATGATGCATATATGCTGGCATGCTCAGTGACAGTTCTTATGTATATACTTCTTGTATACCCATCATTTACCACATCATGCAAGAGTTTCGGCTCCGAAGAGCTCTGCTCCGGCAAAAAGGGGGTCCACCGATTCGGGTGAATTTGTTGTTTCTCGGTAGTACGTCTGAATTAGTAGTTGATGACGCAGTGCCATAATTCGGAATTATCATTTCACTGACTATTTCGGTGGAAGCGAAATACGGAAATAACGTCAGTCCAGTCAAATTGCAAGGAAATTCGTTTATTTAACAATAAATATATGAATGTTTTAGCAATAAACTCCACCCTCGTGAACGCCAAAAAAGCAGTACATCCCCTCATAAAAAGCATGCGCACGACAACCAACAATTTTCAAAATTACCTGAAGCATATATGAAACGATTCCGAATGGAAGGATATTTTTGTACCTCGTTCGATTTCAATATAAAACCGAAGACCGCTCACACCGAGATCCATCGAAAAAACTCATGCTGAAATGACGACTCTAACTTCTGCTTTGCATCGAATCAATAACCCGTCAATCATACATACATAAAGTTGGAACAATAAGCATAATTATATAGAACTGATAACTCGAACTGAATCTGACATGCGTGACGCTGAATGTAAAATACTTTCTGATGATACGGCAGCAAAACACGACCATCGCAAGCTCACCAAGCATAACAGATAGCGTATTGAATTGTCAAAAATAAGGCGAGAATTCGCGCAAAATCAAAGAATAAACGTCATGCTGGTAACATGAATCGGACGGATGATATAGCAATATGATCATCTTAATTTTGACAAACACATGTAATTTGTGAGCATCATCAAGATAATGGTTGCAAGGTGCACTTCATATCCTTTATTCTGAATATTTGCAAACAATAAGGATGCTGGTTTTCACGCATGAAATTATATAAAGTGCTGAACCTTCATGATATTTTTATCGTTTCTCCTCGTCGAAACAACCATATAATACATTAATAATAAGAGAATGGTACAACCTAGCTCCAAATTCTGGTTTTGCACCGACCGAATAAAATCTGAGGATAATTTTGGCAGCATATATAGACGAAGACTCAAATAAATTGGCAGCGTTTGAGAATCTTCTGAGCCACAAATGATCGCACTGCTGCTGGTTTCAGGAACTATTATTACGCTAGTTTACAACAATTCCGCAGGTCGCCGAGTGAATCAACGCAAAACGATTGACCTTATGTCTATATATATATATTAGGCACTAATTCGATCGTTACTTCCTCGAACAGAAACACATACTTCCGTTCAACCGCTGGTGCATGCTGCACGAGACAAAAAATAGACGACATCCTTGAGCTGGCCGATGTAATCAGCAGTGTTAAAATCAAGGTCTTTGAAAAATAAACATTGAACCAACATTGTTGCGGTTTGTCTCCTACATTTCTAACGAAACCAGAAGTTTCGCAATGTTTGACAAACATCTCACAGTTGAACTAAAATTATTCACTCAGAAATATGACGAAATTTCCAAAAATATCATGCTTTCAATGCTTGGACCTCTTAAATTTAATAGGCTCGAACATTGATAACAAGGATAACATGATAAAAATTGACAAAAATGATAGCAATTGCATGATAACAATCATAGCATTGATAAAATTTGTTGGAAATTTTGTCGTTTTTAAAAGTAAATAATTATTATCATAGGATTAAACTATTATTTATTATAATAAATAACTACTATATCCAGGCATATAGGTTCTATTTTTAAAAGGAATTTCCAAAAATAACCTGTTGTCAATGTTATGACCTCTTAAATTTAAGAGGTCCGAACATTGATAACGTTAAACATTATTTTTGAAAATGCCTATCCTAATATAGGAAACCGAATTTATACAACACAAGCTCGGGCTTTGTTGATTTCAGAAAACAATCCACGTACATCGGCGTTATCGAAATGACAAATGATCTCATAATTCATAGAAATTTTCCGCAATTTTTATTCTATAGTAAGTGCATAAAAATATTTCGAAGCAACTTTCAAGAAATGTCTGTTATTGATCTTACTACAGTATATATACTTACTATGATTTCGAAAATTTTAAGTTGCCGGGATTAATCCAACGTCAGAAAGATTAACAGTATACATTTTTTTAGAAAACAATCAAGATATATCAACGGAAGGCCACCGTCCAGATATACTGAAGCATTCCAGATTTTTTTCCATCCCTTCACGTGCTGAATTTTAAATCTTGTGCAGCCCAACATTCTATACACAGCATATTGGAATGTTTTTCAAATCTTTTTTCTGCGAATGTCACGTTAAACTTCATCAATATTCAAGATATGCAACTGCTGGACGGGATAAATTCATCCATAGAAAAGCATAAAAACTGTTTCTGCAAAAAATATTCCCACAACTTGAACTTTCGATTCTCATCGTCAGCGTCGATCAATCGATTCAAATAATGTGTTAAAGGCGAGCATGCATGTCGTTATCCTGATGCATACGAGAGACAAAAAAAAGCACGCATGGTAAAATAAATTCCCTGCCGCCGACGACGACGACGACCTCAATTGCAATAAGCAGGCCACGACGTCAGGAAAGACGAGATAATAATGACGAGCGCGGCGATCATGGATCCAAAGATCCCGGAGGACACAGTACAGATTCTGGGCGTTGCGGCGTTCACGTTCCGGAAACCTTGGTACCGGCGGTACTCGTACTTGGGCTTCGAAATGCCCTCGTAGTAGCCCGAAGAGTCGTCCAGCTTCTGGTTCACCACGGCGCCTTCCTTGAGGCCGGTCTTGCCGAATTTCCACGTCTCCCAGTAGCCGCCGGCGTCTATCTGCACGCTGCCTTGCTTCAGCCTGCAATAAAACAATCATGATAACTAATGGCATTGATGCTGACGACCATGCATGGAACCCATCCGGGAACAAAATTTGAGAGGAATCGAAACGCGCGTATTACTGCGTAAATGTTGTAATTCGAACAAAAATGTGACCTTCGAAATTGTCTTAACCGTTCATGATTCGGTCTTCGGCTTCCTAAATGTGCCTTTAAAAATAAAGAACCGGATATATGTGTCCTCGAGCGTTGTACTGCTGAACAAATTTTCGCGAAAAAAGTACACAGTATTTTTCACATATTGTGGGAATGCTCAAGAACAGAAAGGTTTGAAAAAGAGCAGAAATTAACCCCAGCCGCGGATCTATCAAGTGCTGTGCCTATGCATAATTCTTCCTCACAAAATATTTACGAGGCTGACTTCGTTCACTCAAATTATTACACTCACCTTCCACAGAAAAAAAAAAACCACAACCGCTAAAATAATACAGTTTAGGTTGAAATTAAGATTGCTTTAATCTGTCGAATCATGCTGTTTAATTTCAGCATGCAACAAGACAATGTTTATTAGCGTTAGTGATCACGTAAATCTACCGAAAAAATTCTCGAATCAATGCTACACAAAAAATAATACTTTCAATATGACAGAAAAATATTTGAGACTATCGGGACGTATGAATAATTAAAATCAAAACTCAATCTTCGCAATTCACCAGCACTTCTATGTGCCATGCTTCTCATTAAACATGGTGGATACACTGCGACTTGAAATTGAATTTAGAATTTTTAAAAGTTTCCTCACTACTTTTGACGATCTTGAAAGGAACGTTACGCACATGGGTTCAACAATCCCTTTAACGTAAGGAATACGCGTGCGAAAATGGGTCTTAAATTCCTCATGACATCTTGGGATAATTACGATTTTCAGGCTATTCCATTCAGTATAAAGAAAGGCATCCACATTATTTTCAGAAATATTGTATTAAAATATTCTTCTGAAAATTGGCACACCTCTGTCAGGGATTTTTGAAAATCGGTCATTCGATGAAGAACAAGTAAAAACAATACATTATGGTCAAAAATCCCCAAGATTGAGCCACAAAATACTGTATATACTATAATCGCTATAATTGAAGGATCATTAAAAAAATGCAATTTCGGCTGAGTTCTTTCTTTTGGCTTTATTGATGTTAGCATAGTTTGACTAAATTGTTTCAATTGTGGAAAACATCCTTATACTTGTTTCTTTTTACTGTATTTAAACTCCCTACAGCAGGTATCAGACCATAATTTAAGGCCTGGGATAACTGATAGAACAATGTCAATGAAACAGGCAAAAAATACGTTTCCCAAAGTCATTTTCTTCGTGGAATTTTGTTTTTCATATTCTTATCCGTATACACAGCAACTTTTCCTTTTTCGCCTTTTTATAGAACCGCCGGTTTTTCAATGAAATAAAATGGAGATGAAGAACCTGGGTAAGTTAGACTCAATTCAATTCTCTCCTCATTGATGTAGGAGTTTAATGCTACAGTACTGTAAATGCATTGCATTGACCACAATGGTAATTTATTATTTATCATCATTGTTACAACTACAGCAGTCTTATAACCATAATTTCCAAATAAGCTGCATTTTTTCGCCCCCCCCCCCCCCACCCCTCCGCAGAACCATTTTCGCAAATTATCCGCGAGCAAACTTAAAATACGTTAAAATATTCAGAAGTTTTAATCAGAATTGCTTCTCTCTCAATTCCGATAATGCAGCACACAATTGAAAAATATAACACTTCGCAGACTGAAGCATCTGGAAAATCACATTCCATCGACACGGATAAAAAAAAACAATTTAAAAATCTATCCCTCCTTTTCACAGCACTTTTTTATTCACAGTATGAAACTTCAGGCTTCCTCAGACATTGGAATATTTCTGCTTCATCCCTATACGAAACGCAAAAAAAAAACCATGCAAAGAGCTAATAATTATGTTATTCAATACAATATTCAGGTTTATAGCGAGCACAAGATTGCTCCCGATTTCTGTCCATATATGTGCAACGACCCAGAAATCCGTCCCCGATTTCTGGAATGAATAAGTCGAAATTATCAACCGACATTCCCCCATATATTATTCATGCTCCCCCGTCGAAAGGAAAATGCGCAGTTATTAGTGCACACATAAGAACGTCAAGCACATTACCATATTTATATTATATATATACGTGGCTCAGCAAGCTCGTAAGACGACAGCGAAATGTCAAATAATAAAAAACAGGAAGACTGTAACTATAGGCCTGTCATGTATATAATTACTGCCCGTTGATTGGTGGATGAATTCTGAGATTCTGAACTCCAGAACCAAATTTCAGTGGTCACCCAGGCATTTCAAAACACGACATTTTCAAGGTTATTCACATCAAATCATTGAAAGCTTCAAGAGGACAGAAACATTTCTTGAAATCTTCGATCAAGTCCGCAAGCGGGTTTGAATTACAGTAAATTATTTGGGCTTGTACAGTATTAGATTTAACTACCAGAAAGCTTCTCGTAAATTTGATGAATCTGAGAATCAAAAAGAAGGATATTGAAGATTTAGAAAATAATTTCGCAGTACTGAAGTAATTACGAATAAACTTTGGGAACAAATTTTCGAATCGGCAAATTTAGGACACGTCGACAGCAGAGATACGGACTCTCCGACCATAATAAGTTTGATATAAAGTAATAATGTAATGTACAAATATTTTCTGAATAAGAATTATCTTCGCAAAATTTTCATCGAAGACTTTTTAAAAAGCCCGGCAAACTACAACTCACCTTTTTATGCAAAAAAAAAAAAAACAAATAACTGCGAACATGAAAAAGTAAAGCTCTCTCTTCAATTACATTCGGTGTGACTCGTCATCAAAGTGTTGTCAATAATAAACGAAAGCATGCGCCTTATTTTCATCAATTTTCACAAGAAAGTTCAGGCGAAGACTCACGATGACTGTGTGTGAAAAACGAACATCGAGTGGTATCCTCGATCATGCGCACTTGGAATATAATTGATTTTTCGCTGATGATAAACATTGGATGCCACTAATTTTTGTTTGAAGAAATTTCTAGAATCTAGACAATAAAACTCTGCTTTGGGTGACGAGAGGAAGCGCTAAAAGAATTTGGTAAAATCCAACATTTTTCCCCAGTCCCTGTCTGAATTCCTTTAGAAACCATAATGCGCTAAAAATCTCACAAACTCGAAGGTTTTCCCTCTTCAAATTTTTCCAACTCAAATTTTATATTGGCTTTTTTGACGCTTTATCATATTGACACAGGAAAGATAAAAGCAATAAAAATGTCACTTATGACGCGTTTTGAAACGAATCGAAAAATTGACTATAGGCGAATAAACCCTTGTCTTCATGCTCAGTATCCTGTCAACTCATTTAAAAAGCAATTTAAAACCCCAGAATATCATATATTAAAATTTTCTTAATTCTTCTTGCTCGGCCCCCCCCCCCCCAACACAAATTCGTGTTTCCTCCTTACAAGTCAATTTTGTTTTCGCTGGTCCCTTGAAGATAGACCTGGAGAGTTTCTACTGCATAATTAAAATTAATTAATTAAGAAGCAGGTGGGAGGAAATTCGTTCAATCCTCAGCGAAAACCAGTCTACCAAAAAATGTAAAAAATAAATAAATTAAAAACTTCCCCTACTGTTGCAACAGCCATGTCGCAATGACCAGCAAGCAGTCACTCAACTCCAGTCCCCATATCTCGACCCTGAAGGAAACACTGTGCTCAAGCCGATGAACCGACATTGCATGCCTGCCTCATAAACTTCGCTACGATACATAAACATGCCACCCAGTCCAGGTGAAAGTTGAATGCTACGCAACTGCTGGGAATCCTGGGATCATCATTAGCGAGCCTGAAGACGTAATAAAGAGGGAGACGGAAAAGAAAAACACGACCAAGAGGAAGAAGGAAGCATATAATAGACGCACAATATCGAAAATACGGTGTCACATGCAACAGGGAAGCTAGGAGGCGGAGGAGGACGGAACACCCGAAGCTCGGGCGGCAGCAATTATCAAATTTAACTTCAACCCGATTTTTCAACAAACATGAATTGGATGAGGATGAGTTTTCAAGGCGAAATACAAATTTAAAAAACGCAAGCCTGTATATTGTGCTGTATTGTATAGTCACAAGAAATACTGTAGTTTGAAAATGATACAATGGAGCTCCACAGAACAGCCTCCATTCAGAGCGGCCTACATTTAAAAGGTCTAGGAAACAGAAAAGCAGTTTCAAAAATGTTCAAATGTTTTTTTTTTCAATCTACTGTATTCCTTGCTGTCATGATTCATCTTCACTTTTTCGGTCATTATCATTATCTTTTATTATATAACTTTTAAATTTTTTTATTTGCTGGAGAAACATTTTTTACAGGCATAAAGGTACCTGAAGGAAAATCTTCATGAAAAAAGTTAAAAATTGTCAAAGAATGAGATCCTGGACAAACAAGGAGAAGCGTCTTTGTTTCCAATGAGAGAACAAACGAGTATTTCCTGGAATTGACTAAAACGTCAATTTCCATCGACATAAACGTCGAAGGACCGAAAAAAAACGAAAAAAAATTCCCAACAAAAACCTTGCGCCTAGAATTTGCAACATCGAGACGGACAAATCAAGTCTTTTATGCATGCTTCGAATAGCAGTCCTTGAAAATAAGGACATCCTCTTAAAAGAGTACACTAAAAATGTGAGTTAAAAGCTTCTTGATCTTGATCTTTTCTTACCCATACGGTATGTGAAACCCGAGATAAGAATCACAAACAAAAAATCTAACCTCTGGTCGTGCATTGAACTGAGTCCAGTAGAGTAATTCCAGGAAAAATATACTAATGACTGATGACCATCTTAAACATTGACTTCATCACATCTTCCAGCGGGCACATCGCTTCTGGTTGTGTTCGGGCATTTCTCATTTCTTTAGAAAAAAAGAATTTCGAACCTCCGGACATTTCTCCACC